GTTTAGGTGCAGTGTTGATGCAGGGGAAACATCCGATAGCGTATTTCAGTCATGGACTAACGGAGAAGGAACAACTGAAACCGATATACGAAAGAGAGCTCATGGCTATAGTGCTGTCAATTCAAAAGTGGCGCCACTATCTGTTGGGACGACGATTTGTAGTACGGACAGATCAACAGAGCCTTAAGTACTTACTCGAACAGAGAGAAGTAACTCTAGACTATCAACGTTGGCTCACTCGTATTATGGGATACGATTTTGATATCGAATATAAAGTGGGCAGTGAAAACAAAGTTGCAGATGGTCTCTCAAGGATAGTACCATCAACGACAACGTTACTATATTCCATCACTATTCCAACAAATCTGCAACTACATGATCTGTTTAAGGAAATTGATGAGGATGAAGAGATTCAAGAGATATTACGGAAAGTATCTGCAGGAGAATCAGTTAAACCAGGGTATACGGTGGTTGATGGTAGACTCTTTTATAAGAGGAGACTGGTTTTACCTCAGTTATCCGCACATATTCCCTTGATTCTTAAGGAAAATCATGACAGTGTGTTGGGAGGTCACTCGGGCATTTTGAAAACACTAATGCGGATTAAAGGAATGTTCTACTGGAAAAGATGAGAGCTAGTGTCCAGAAGTATGTTTCGGAGTGTGCAATCTGTCAAACGAGCAAGTACTCGATACTATCTCCAGCAGGGCTCCTTCAACCCATTGAACTACCTAAAAGGATATGGGAGGATATATCAATGGATTTCATCGAAGGACTTCCAAAATCCCTTGGTGTAAATGTCATTTTGGTGGTGATAGATCGCTTAAGTAAATACGCACATTTCTTAAGTCTAAAACATCCATTTACAGCAAGTGAGGTGGCTCAGAAATTTGTGCAAGAAATAGTCAGACTTCACGGTTATCCTCGTTTGATCATATCCGACAGAGACAAAATTTTTCTGAGTTCCTTTTGGAGAGAATGTTTTAAAGCATCAGGAACTAAACTCCGTTTCAGCACGGCGTTTCATCCCCAATCAGATGGCCAATCTGAGGTTCTTAATCGCTGTGTTGAGACGTATCTGCGTTGTTTTGCATCTCAACAACCTAAGACATGGGCAAAGTATTTGATGTGGGCTGAGCTTTGGTACAATACTGGATTCCATACAGCCACTCAGTGTACGCCGTTTAAGTTGGTTTATGGCCGTGACCCTCCGTCATTGTTGAGCTACGAACCAGGTTCAACGAGCAATTTTGAATTGGAGACTATGCTTAAAGAAAGAGATACGATGCTATCAATGGTAAAACAGAACTTGGAACGTGCTCAAAGCCGAATGAAGAACAACGCAGATAAGCATCGTCGAGAGTTAAACTTTGAAGTGGGGGACAAAGTTTATCTCAAACTCCGACCATACCGTCAGCAATCAGTAAGCAGAAGGATATGTCAAAAGCTGGCTGCGAGATACTATGGTCCATACGAGGTATTGGAGAAAGTGGGGAAAGTCGCATATCGGTTGCGTTTGCCAGAAGAATCAAAGATACATCCAGTATTTCATGTATCACAGCTCAAGCCTGTTTTGGGGGATGGTGTAGTAGTCAATCCATTGCCCATTTCAGTGACAAGTGAGGATGAGTTAGTGATTGAACCAGAAGACATTTTGGATACTCGCTATGAAGCTGAAGGTCACCTAGAGGTTCTTGTCAAGTGGAAAGGCTTGCCTGATCATGAGAACTCGTGGATGAAGATCAGAGAACTCAAACATCAATTCCCTGCATTTCCACTTGAGGACAAGCTGGTTCTCCAAAGGGCGGGTATTGATATGCCGTGGAGGTCTTACTACCGCAAAGGAAAGAGAGGAAATGATCAAGAAGAAGGGTCAAAGGAAGGATGAGCTGTCAAGTTTAGTGGGTTGATTAGCTTAAATCAACAGAGTCAAACTTGTAACAACCTTGAGTATAAAAGGTTGAGAATAGTAGATATTTTCAGTGAGTGAGAAATTGAGAGTTGGCTTGAGTCTCTGGTGTGTGGAGATCAAGTGGAATTTGTCTTGCAAGCTTATACGCTTGGGATTGTAATTCTTCTTTTCAATCAATAAAGAGCTTTTTCCTTAACAGATAAATCCCCATAAAGATTCTCTGCATTTACTACAGTTCTCGCTCTCCTGTTTAGGAGGATTAGGCAGGAGTGCTAAAGGATGTTCCCAGTGGAGAAGCCGATTTTTCCATGGTTGCCCCAGCTCTGCACAAAAATCATGTGTCTGGAATTCGCATGATGTGCATTTACATGGGTTACCGCATATTTTTCCGCAACATATGTGGCAATTTGCGTCTTCGCTAAGCTCACTCATGTGGATCGGTCTCATCACATGAATATGCAACACATCATCAACCTTTAACATATATATGTATGGAAAAAGTTAGGAAAGACTGATCCAAAAGAAAGAAAGCATTTATATGACCAGTGTATCGACGACTATAAAGACACACCATGAGTTTGGAATCCAATATGTTCGTTTCACCGCTTTCTTGATTAGTTGCTCTTGTGACATCTTCACGGCCACATAAATATAAATCTTTCAAGTACAATGGGGAGGGATTTTCCTGTTGTTTATGAGTAAAAGTAATTCATCAGCATGGTCGTCATCATTAACAAAAGAAAGAAAAAAAATAGCGTTTACATATTAAGTACCTTACGTAGAATGCATTCAATATGACCAAGATAATCACATTCTTGGCAAGAATAAGCATGATGTCCTGCATGTACCACTGTCTCGCATACTCCACAATACTCCAAAGACTCGTCATTGCCTAAGAATGTTTTGCACACAAGGGGATGAATGTGAAAAGATTTCTTGACGAGAGACTTGGGTATCCCAAGACACTCGAAATGAAAGTTCATTTCACATTCGACGCAGTAATAATAGGAATCGAGAGAAAGGGTACTAGTTCCCATGCATATCTGACATGGGCTTCTTTTGTCAATGGCATAACGAGCATCAGTAGCTACATAAAACAGCCTGTGCTTATGAGACTCGTGCATCAGACCTCGTAACAAAGAATCTGCACACCTTAAATGGAGGTCAATACCGCATTCTATGCAGCTATACGGCACACCAAAGATCGTTAAAGTGCACGCAACACAACTTATTCGACCACCACATGTTCGTTGGTAACTAAGGCGTGTGAGAGGGTGTGCTGGATGTACAGGGTGTTGAATCTCCATTGGAAGATCAAAGCACTTGTGGTGAACAAACGAGTAACAATGAACACATCCGTAACATATGGAGGAGGGGGATACAGGAAGCTCACATAGCAGGCAAGAGCCTTTGGCATCTGATCCTGGCCTACACCTCCTGAGTAAGTGGCAGTGGCTGTCATGGAGCAACTCTTCAACGTCCCAAGCGTCACTGATGTTAACTCGTAGCGCACAACCAAGATCTAGGTAGATCTCACATGTTTTACACTTGTAGAAGGAGCCACAAGACATTTCCCCACACCCTGAGCAAACGACGTATTTAGGTTTCCGATCATATTTGAATTGACAAAACTCTAGAGGATGCTCAGGGTGGAAATCGTGATACACCTTCTCCGGAAGTTCGGAACAAGATAAGCATAGATCGAAATTACAAGGCTTACACTCAAACTCCACAAGCTCATCTTTGTGGCATATGTTGCAGACGCTGCCTGTGACGGTCTCCGGACAGGTCAGATCGCATTCATGTGAGAAATGCTTCAGTGTTTGCAAGGCCATGGGCGCAAGAACTCGACAAGAAAAAAAAGAATGGTTCAAAATGAATTTTGATCCAAAGAACAAAAACACTGATGGAAAACTATGGACCTTGATAAACCACTTATTTTCAGCAGACAACTCTTTAGTTTGAAATGCAGAGGCAGAGATCTCGAGATGCCTCGAGAGGTGGAAAGATACGAATCGAGGCCTCGTGGTTGTGAATTGTGTACGATGAACGTTAAACAATATTTAAACATACATAGTTAAAAAGAGAACAGAGAGCACACTGATTTGTTTATTTTTCTTTCAATTGTTTTCTTTTACGCACCAAGCTCCATATTGAGGGTTTTACTGAAAGTCTGAAGCTCATTTATTTAAGGGCTTTGCTTGGAGGACTAATATATTCATCTAACAATCAACTTTGCATTTATAAAATTGACATGTATAAAAGATTTAGGGGTTTGATATTTATCTCTAATAGCAATTTTTTTTTGGCTTTAGATCATTGTTTGTATATACATGTGTATTTTTCAAGTATTTAGCAAGTATAATATGATTTTTCCAATCATTTTGAAAAACGACGACTTTGTCAACATACAAAAACAAAACAAATTCATCATCTTGGATTTTGTTCATAAGCAAGAGCCACCAAACACATAATAAAACCATTTTATTCTCCACCGTTTTAAAAACTTCATGGGACTCCACCATCATGACTCTCACACCCAAAGACGTGAACCCCACGCAACACAAGCCAATCCTCTCTAAGCTTATACACACCAAAACAAAACAAAATGCCAAAAAGCGAAAAAGGATCATCACAAATTAAGATTCAAGACAATGAGAGTGAAAGCAACTTTGATTAACTTCAAATCAAAGCTTTCCAAATCATGCAACAGATTTGTCTCTCTCTTCCGCTTCAGAGTTAAAAGACCTATCTTTATTAGACCTCTTCGTCGTGCTCATCATGGCAATGTCAAACCTAAACATCATCATCATCATCATCCCAAGAAGCCACTCTGTTCTTCTTCCTCTTTGTTGTCTTGTCTCTGTTTTCTCAGCACAAACAAAGACCAGAAGATGAGCCCCACCAAAACCAGAAGTTCCTCTTGTAAGACAATTGTTTTTCTACTATTATCAGTTCAATTCGAATAAAAAAGGTTCTATTGCGAGTTTAAGATGGAATTATATAAGTTTTTTTCTTCTCTCTTTATTCCTCCAGTTAGTGTGAAGGATGATGATTTTTCGAAGTTTATGCATTCGCCTCTTACGCCAGCAGCAGCCAAGAAACTGTTCAATTCACCAACCACCACGCCTGTTTATGCAGCACGGGCCAAGAAATCGCTGAGCTCAAGAGATACGTTCGAAGACAATGCCGTGGAAGATGCTTGCAGAAGCTTTGAAAACTTTCTGATTCATCTGATTGTTGAAGAAGGGAAAATGGATGACTTAATGGACATAGAGGAGCTTCTCTTTTGTTGGAAGAATCTTAAGAGCCCTGTCTTCATTGAACTTGTCTCCAGATTCTATGGAGAACTCTGCAGAGACCTGTTTTCAGGTGAATGAACAGATCCATAAATGATCCAAACAAAATTGTTTTTATCTTTCTTTCTCAACAAACAAAACAAAAAAAAACTATTTGCGGTTTTGGCAATCATTGAACACACCATCTTCAATGTGAAGCTATAGAGATTGTGTGTTTTCGCGTTTCACATAACGAAGAAACTTGGATTTATTAACTATAGACCAAAACTTGAATGTGGATAAAGATACAAAGCAACATCCTTGGAGAAAAATTATTTTACTTGCCTATCTAACTTGCAAAAAAGTAGCCATCTTTACCTGACACTTTCGAAATAACTGAATCTGCAGAGCGGTTCTTTTTACCCTTTTGTTTTCGAAAGATAAACATGAGATTTAATCACTGAATCTCCGATTTTAAACCCCGGCATTGTGATGAACTCAACGCTTAAATCACCTTCTCCATCTTCTTTTTCATCACCCACTACAGATTCCATGTAGACACCTGAGAATCTAGCTCCTCTTCTAACCACAAAAATCTGAGCTTTTTGATCCAAGGAAGCTGCAAACGATCCAAGAATCCATACCCATATCGCCATTTTCGCAAAGATTCGATAAAACATCGTTCTTGGATGCTTACCAAGCAAAACAAGACCCCTCATATCCAAATTTCCAAAGAACGAAGCCTCCATCGACGGATGAACAACTAAAAGATACTTCTGACCGCAGAATCTGGAAAACGCAGAATCTGGAAACGCTGTTAACGCGTCCAAAGGATCCTCGAAACTCATTAGTTCAGTCACATCACACGGATTAAGCTTTAAACCGTGAAACATTCTCCGAACAATGTACGACTCAAAAGCAAACTTCTTATCTGAGTTTTTAGCATATGTTACATTTCCCACAATAGATTCCACTGCCTTGTCCAAATTCCAATCTGTAGCTTTCATCAGAGTGATTAATGGCTTCGCAAAGTCGTGAATCGACTTGGAAGCAGCTCTAAACGCGAATTCAAACGAAGAAACAGTCACAATCCTCTCTTCGAGTTTACTATTCTCTGCAACCAAACAGTCTAGTTTCTCCTTTAGAAAGTGAATCTCACTATCCTTTGCTTTCACCTGTGCCTTGAGTTTCTCCAAATGCTTCTCGCTCACTTCGATTTCATCTCTCAATCGATCCAAATAAGAAGCAGCATCAAGCTCGGTCTTCGAGCGGAGCTGCTTCGTTTTGAGGTAGAGACGCTTGATCTTGCGTAAGGCCTCGAGCTGAGACACGACGAGGTTGTCTGCTTCTACGATCTTGTCTGGATCATAAGGCAAATGAGCTTGTTGAAAGTCGAGATAAGCGATTTTAAGCGCTGAAACTATGCCAAAGAGCTTCGAAATCTCATCATCAGAACGAAAATTTCGAATCTTTCTCGAGGGTTTGTGATTGATTTCGCGGATTTCAGTTTCGTTGGCTTTACCCTCGAAGATTTCTTCTACTTCATCACAAGTGTCGTTCAAATTCGGCTTCTGGTCAGGGAACAAACCAATGGATCTGAATTTGCAGACTTTAGCGAATCTGGAGATGATTTCCGATAGATTCGAGGGAGTCGATGATTTAACGGCGGCATTCTCCATGAATCGAAATAGAAACCCTAATTCAGAAGTAAGAAAAAGGAAACAACTTTGTTACAGAAACGAGACTAGGGTTTTACAAATGATTCGTATTCGATTCAGATAAAAACCCTCCAAGAATTTAAAACAAAAAGTGTTGTTCATGAATTTTTTTTTTTTGTTTTCAATTAGAGAAGACGACAAAGCCAATTTGAAAGTTTTTTAAATTGTTTTTTTTTAGCAATTTTGGTCATGGCAGGAGAGACTAAAGATGCAGAGGAATAGTTACAGAGACCAAACAGAAGCAAAGACTATTAGACAGAGATTGTAGATTGTCCAAACCAACGAAGTTCAAATTGTTTTTTTTTTTTTGCTGAAACTGTTCAAATTTTTTTTTTGTTTACAAAAGCTGTTCAAATTGTTCAAAGTGTAAAAGTTAAGTAAGAATAACCCAGAAGAAGAACAGAACATAAAGATTTTTTTCTTTTTTGTAAATGATGATGAACAACAAGTCAAACAACAACAATAAGAAAGCTACCATTTCAACGATAGAGACAAGCCATAACAAAAGAATGAAAAAACAGAATCACCTGTTTGTTTTTGTACACTAGTAGCAGCCAAAGCAAAGCTAAGCACGAGGAAGGCCAAAGTTCGAGCCTTTTGTGCTTATTTCACTCTCTCTCTTTCTTTCTCTCTCTCTCTATGCCTCACACAAAATGCTTGTTGCTTAACATTGGAATGAGGTTTTTTATATTCTTCTTTTTTAGATCTTGTTCCTCATAAAGAAGACGACACAAACAAGATTTATTTTTTAAAAAAGAACTTACTACTATATAGCCTCGTTAATGGTGATGATTCTGGGATTCCTAAACCATAAATCGACTAGAATTGGCGTTTAGTTCCCCTTTTTTGTTTTTTTGTTTTCTTTTTATTTCCCAAAATCGAAAACAGAGCGTGTTTGGAACTGAGAAGCTTTAATCTTCACCAATCTTCTAAAAAAACAAATTGATTTTATTTTTTTTTGAATAAATCATGGGAATCCAAGAGAAAACCCTCAGGATTCAGGAATCTCCACAGGCATCGTCGCGGAGAAACAAACCCTTGTCTCCTTTCTTTGTTCTTTCTTCGAGTCTGTCTTAATAGATTTTTTAATCATTTGATTTTTTAATAATAAGTATTTTAATTTGTTCAACTGTGTAAATGTAAATCTGTAGTGTTAGAACTTCTTGTTTCATGCTTCTTCAAATATTCAAACTTTTAAGAGAAAGAGAAAGGCGAAGTACCAAAAGAGATTAAAGCTGATTTCCACACGAGTTTCCATCTCCTCTTCTGTCATATTTGTCTCAGCTCTGAAAACAAAGTGCTTTTCCCAAGAACATGTAATACTTACCGGGCCTCACTTTTAAGGCCCATTTATTCTTCTAGGCTGTTGCCCATACAGGCCCTTTATAAAGTTAGCTTTTAATAATAAAAAATTAGGCAGATGAGAAATGTCAGAGGGATCAATTCCTATTTTATCATGATTTCACATGCAAACGTAAATGACTAACATTAACACAAATTTTACTATATAACATAATTTTACGACATCTCTCATCTATATTATACTAAGGTTTCGGTTAATAATTTATCAGCTTAATAATAGAATGAAATGATTGTAATGTGGAACAAATTCAATTTCGTAAACGTTGACTGTAAAATTCGTTTGACTTATTCGTACAATGATGTTTTTATTTCAATAAATGCATTTATGCCAGTTTTAGTAATTCGTCCATATAAACGAATACGATTTGTTTCCCTATTGGTTTGATCGCCGATATGATGGCATCTTACGTACTGTATTAGCACTATCTGATCCATTCTCTTCACTTATCCTTGTTTTGAATTCGTTTTTTGTTAGATATCTGTGAACTTTATCAATATTGTTTCTCTGCGGTATAGAGAAGAGAATTTGTTGCTTATGAAACTTGAAACTGTTGTGCAGTATAAATGAATACGATTACCCATAATAAACCCAAGTGAAGGATTAAGGAAGTAGCTAGGAAGATTTATAAACCGTACTTGACCGTAGTATTTAGTATTTTACTTTGAATTATTTGTTTGATAATAAATGAAGAAGAAGGAGAAGGAAAAGAAAAAAAGAGAGGAGGTGGTCCAAATACTGAAAACACACAAAGCATGAATTCAACACACTCGTGCATCTCTTGTCTCTTTCTATTTCTTCTCACTTTTCAGCTTTTGGCTTTCCTACATCTGCCATACTCCATCTTCTCTTTTTATTTCTCTCTTCCTCGGACCTGAATTGATCAGTTTTTATTTACACTTTTGTGACAAGAGAGCGTATCTAGATAACATGTGAGATCATCTCTAGATTTACTATGATACACGGAAAAGACTACAACATAGCTTATTATACAATTGTATGTGTTGATGAATCTATAAATAGGTATGGTGGAAATCTAGGAAATTTGCTTTTTGATAATTCAATTCAAATGTACACCCTAAAAAAATGCAGTTAAAACAAAGTAGTTTATTCTTTACAATAAACATAACATAGAAAAACCAACTATATATATTATGAGCTTTCATTCTGACCAAAGCCTATATCAATATATATATATATATATTATGAGCTTTCACAAGATCATTTGAATTGATAACAATTACAATCATGACTCATCGGATCCATCCCCATTCAGCCCACAAACAGACTACCATACTCCCTATCCTCCTCCACCAGGACCCGTCATCTATAATAAAAAAAAAAAAAATTGTTTTAAATCTGTCCCAAAATTAGTGACAACAAATATTGGATTGGTTGAACTTGGGAATAGCATTGTTTTTGTTTGTTTGGATACGGATGTTTTGTAATACGAGAAAATTTCCCCTGCAATCTTGTCTTTTGTGGCAATTAACTAGTAGCAATTAGCAAATTTTTTACCAAATATTTTTTCTAATATTCTAAATACCAAAATAACATTTGGAAAACTGATCATCGATAACGTAATACTATAATTTCTTCTGCAGAAAATCTGGAAATTCTGCAAACGCTTGCTATTTGAGATTGAACACACAACCTGCGGAATCTAGATATATATTGAAATATATTTTTTTTGAAGAGGACACACATTTTTGAATGAATGGTGACGCGTTCTGCATTTGATTTGGGTGAATGCGTGATCATTCAGATCCTAAGACTGATGTGTTTTCTTTTTTTTCTATTGGCCTAGGAAGAAATAGTTGTTTCTTTCTGCATGATTCTTGACATCTTCAAAATCACATACATAATAGTCAATAGGTAGGAAACAATGCAAGTCCCATCTGTCTCAATCTAAAAACAAAATGAATTTCAATAACAATAACATGATAAAATGAAAAAAAAAAAAGGATACAGTGTGTCAGATGTTTGTATTTAAACCTTATTATAAAAATAATTGAGAAGTGGTGTGTCAGGGATAGAGATACTTACCTAGGCATGTGACCCTCTCAATATTTTCCTGTACACGATTATTTCAGTATTCTCCCTTTCGTTGACTATTATGGTTGTGATTAAAGTTTAAGGTAATTCAACCATGGAGATTAAAGTTTAAGGTAATTCAACCATAGCAGATGTAATCTACGTGTAGTATCAGCTCATATGTTGTTTTTCTGGTGTTCGAAGTGTGGGTGACAAAATGTTCGTCTTTCTAATTTCCTCTTGCAAATTTCGAATCATAATTCAAGAAATTCATTTTAAATTGCAACATGATATCAATCCTAATTTGTGATGGAGACAGTGTGGGAAAAAATATGAGAATCTTGAAAATATCAACTCCCAAAGTCATGTTTTAACTCCAAATAATTTTTTGGAACTAGTAATATGACATGTTTCAACTCTAAAAACATTTTATTGTTCTTTTCCTAATGTTTTTTTTGTGTGTGCGAATTTATGATTCAATTCTATTAGAAAATAAATGCACTCACAGTCTACAAAAATTGATGGAGTCAAAATATTGGCAAACGAATTCGGCTTCAAAGTATCGGAAGCTCCAAACACCCATCAATATAAATTTCAAATTTGGCTTTTTCGTTCTAGAAAATGGACTATACTTTAGTTAGATTTAGCATAGCTTTTTTGTTAAAATTATCCAATTGCTGAATGTCATTAGCTTAATTGAAAAATCATCAAGGATAAAGACTAGTAATTACATAATCGGGAGACATGACCATATAACATGCTGTGGCCCTGGCCAGTCTAGAAGATGTAGAGATCTCGGTCCAGATGCTCTTAGTTATCATTCAGCCAAATACACACAAAAAATGTTTGAGATTTTAGTTGGCTAGAGTTAAAATAAAAATAAACTTTTGAATACTAGAGACTAGAGCCATTCTCAAAAACTCAAATTTTGAACTCATAATTCAGCCAAACAAATTATGTCTAGCGTTTAAACTACAAATTCAAATTGCTGATTCTTGCTAGGGCTTGTGCTCATTTAAATATTTTTAAAATATATGAAATGTGAAAAACCATCTGACATCAAAAACCATATAACACTATCTTGAAATTGTGGTTTTATTTTCACCCCTATTACAGGCGTTCGCTTGTATTTAATTAGGCACGTAACTAGATTTATTATTATTACCTGTTAATTTGACCTAGAAAAATATTACTGTTACGTGGAATTACAAAACTTCACAAACTAAAAAAGTACGTACAAAGCAAAGGATAGATATTTGGGTTGAACAATTCTAGGAGTTGTCGGTGAAATCGTATCATAGTCATTCTTTATTGCTTTTCAACGCATTTTTATTCTCATTAGCAGTAACAACATCGTAAAGGTCATCTACCTTTCCAAGATCTCCGAAAATAATATTCTGGTATTGCGATGATTATATGGTTATCTTGAATACTAGAACGCGTAAAAAGGTTGAAAACATTGATATATGTGATTCACACCTTTGAACTTTCTTGAAATTGATATTTTCGCTTATGTTCAATGCTAAGAATTCATCATTTTCAACTATTGTTTCTTTGGTACACCATAATTAATTATCAAGCTAAGAGAAAAAAAGAGATGATATCGCTACGTTTATTGTTAAAACTCTTTTTGTTCCAACATGCATTACCTTTTGACGAATATAAATTCTAGTACTGACGCCTAAATACCACTATCGCATTCTATGTTCCATATCTTGTCTCCATTTTTAGCTTTTATACTACAATTTTGTTTGCCATTCGTTACAACTGAATATTGATTTTGCTGTTTTCGTATACAACTTTGTGTGAATTGATTGGAGTGGATAATTATTGATAAGACTAAAGATAATAAATGTGTAAATGAGGAATGAACATGGAACCCTTCTTACACATTTGTTGGGATGTTTTGTCCATACCTCCTTGCCTTTGGAATCTCTCTCATCTTTCATCATACGGCCCTCCCTTATTCCTATCTTCTTTAAATCAAACACCTCTCATCTCTGTCTTAATTATGATTAAGTATTACTAATGAAATATCATTAATTCTAATTAACTAACTATCTAAAACTCTAAGCGAGAGTCTCTCGGTTAAACCCTCATTAAAGAAAACAAATAATCAAGAGATTTTATAGTTTTATAATCACTTGAAATCATAACTTATTATCATGTGATGTGACATACACCACACAATGTGTATAGTACACTCTACACACATGCATATAAAAGAACTTAATTAAGAAACATAAAAATAAGAAAATCAATTAGATAAATACGATGTGTGTATGGAGTATATGTATAGCTTGGAAGATTGCTAAAAGCAAACTCTGAGGAAAGGAAGGGTGCAATGACAGAGAGAATAGGGTGCAGGAGAATCTAACTCCCAAACTTAGCAATGCTTAGGTACCTTTCTTAATTACTTCTCTCTTCCTACACTCTTTCTCTCCTTTTATCTCTATTATTTTATTATCTTAAAATTTCCAAATTTAATTGCACAGTTTGCAGTAAACCCCTCCTTGTTCTCTCATAATCGACTCGTTTTGCACTTTCTCCCTCTTAGTTTCAACCACTCCCACTCTCCCCTCTCGTTTTTGAGAAAACCCAAATCATAAGAAACCAACATAAATTACAAAAAAAAAAACATCTTTTTGTATAATCTTTTCTTGATTTCCATTCTCATCTCTGGTTTTAATAAACCCACCAAGTTTTTTGCATGAAACTATCCTGGAGGAAGAGTCATAACTAATCTCTGCTTCTTCTTAGGTGGGGTTTTCAGAAAGTTTCGTAATCATGGGTTTCGAGAGATCACCATCATCGTCATCATTATCGTCATCATTACCACCATCAGAAAACTTAAGAGCCAAGTTCAGTCTCTTTTATATACTCCTACTCTGCCTTGTCTTCCTTTGTGTAATAACCACTTTCATTACTCCCTCTTCACCTTCTTCTCCATGTAAGCCCTATTTCTTTTCTCGTTAACATATATAATGCAATCACTATCATTGTTATTCTTATAAGTCTTTTATTAACATTTTGTTTGTACATAACATATAATCGTTACAGCACCATTTATATATGTTATATTCCTGTAAAAATGCAGATATTCGGAACTCTAACTCTGGGAAACTAGGGCTCTTTTATGCACAGGTCCGTAAGCTGTTTAATCCTCTTACTCTCTTGCGTGATCCAGTTTTTATTTTTTATTTTTTTTTATATATACTTCTTTTGTTGTTGAGTCAATAAGTAATTAGGAAAACACTACCAAAAAAATAAGTAATTAGGAAAAAGGGCTCCAATACCGTGTTATATATCTAATAAATATAACCACAAAAAAACAAATATAGCTTAGTATCTCTATTTCTCCTGATTTAAGTGTCTTTGGAAGACAAAGATTGATGTTGATTCATCATTGAAGACATTTTAAATAAGCTTTCTGATGTGGGGATCTCTAAAAGGACTACACAATCAAAAGGGTGTGTAGCTAAAATGCGCTTGAACAGTCAGCGACTGTGACGGCATGTCGAGACTGACTGAGCAGCAGAGATGCCATGTACTCGTAAAAAGAATCTCAGCCGTCCGATTCACTTCAGCACACGAGGATAAGGACAGTACTCGGCTTTGGTCCGTTCTCCACTTGTGGGTCCCTGCCTTGCTTTTGTCTGTGTTTCGATCTCGATCGACTGGTAATATTATAGCAAGTTACTCGCCCCCACGGCGCATGTTAACGTATGACAGCCTCTTGGAACTTCCCAATCTCTCTGCCTTTTTTTGGTAATGTGCGTAGCGCTTTTTCCGGAGCGGTATTCCCGGGTCTTGTCTCACTCCCCCAGCCATGTCTTAAAAATGTGCTCACCTAAATTGTGCATTTTAGCAAAGCCATGCGCATTTTAGTGAAATTTGAGCGCATCTTAAAGAGTGTTTTGTTTGTTTGAGAATTTGTATTTTTTTCATTATATGACGTTCAATATCTTTTTTTTGTGTGGAAAATGTGACAACATATGGTTGTGCAATATGTGTTTAGGAAGAGGAGGGCAAGAGTACAATGATGATGAAGAAGATGAGGAAGATTATCAGTGATCGGAGTAAAGAGGCTGAGCTACGGCGGATTCTTAGGGGGCTTGGTTCATCGCCGCCACGGTGCTCTGCCAAGTGTGGAAGATGCACACCGTGCAAGCCTGTGCACGTGCCGGTACCTCCGGGCACGCCTGTCACGGCCGAATACTACCCGGAAGCTTGGAGATGCAAGTGCGGCAACAAGTTGTACATGCCATGATCTCATATAAATACTCACATATAGTATATATACATTATATAATATGATTTATATGCAAGTTTGATCATGGTCAGGTCTTAAGTCTCTACTCAAATATTTATCATATATTAAACATGTTTTTAGGACAAAGCCTCTACGTGAAACTTTTGATGATTGATCAAATCATTGATGATGCTCGAATGCTCCTGTATGGCCGTATGGGGTAATAGGGTATGTCTATACGATATTTTGTAGCATATGATATAACTTACGGTAGAAAGTATTCATGAGCATGCATGGCATGCATGCTGTTATTTTTTTTCTGTTTTCTATAACGTTCGGGCTACCTATTGTCGAATAAATTTCGGCTCATGATATATGGACTAGTATAACTAAACAAAAAGCCCAACACCACTATTCCTTGGAACATTCATAATCGATCATGCATCCAAGTAAACTATAAACAACATTCTGATTCTATTTCCGGAACTCGTTGATTTCATTTACATTTTGTAATCAGAAACAACTCCCTCAAATAAAATTTATTCATATAAGATATAACGGATAAAATTCAAGAAAGCATATGCTAACGTATCCAAATACTAATACAACATGTTTAACACAATTACAGTTTATATTAGTCACATGAAGCCATAAAATATTTGTCAAGGATTTCAAAGTCGTAGTTATTAACTGACTGATTCTTTTCTTCTCTAATAAATAAGAGGCTTGAGAAAAAAACTTTAATCAAGATGTGAATATAATATGGCCCATGTTCTATGTTATACGATTTAAAAATAAACACATTACCGACGAAGACCAAATTAAGATTTTTTTTTGTTTGGTCTTTCCAAACTGTAATATATATATATTATATAGACGATAAACGGAGAAATAATTATTCTTTGTAATCGTTTAAAGAATAATTAGTCTCTAATCAGTTTTATTCAATAGAGAAATAATTAGTCTCCAGTCGTTTAAATAATAGAAGCATATCTCAGCACCGATTTTCAAAATCAATAGGGATAGGTGGAAGCAGCCGGCCACATCTTGAACCATCCAGCTGGCAGCCGGCGTCGACTATTTCCACCGTTATAATATTGCCACGTGCCACCATCTCCTATCGGGATAGACACCTGACAGCTGACACTATCCCGTGGAACATGTTTTTAAAAAAAAAAAATTAATTCACTTACCACGTCGCTATCTTCACTTACCTACAAAATTAATATAACCCACATGAGATGAAACACGCATATACTGATATACGAAGGAGTAAGGACATATTTATTGAAATACTTTTTTTCTTACGATATATGGAAGTTTCTAAGTAGTTCCAGATGTAACGAGTACGAGAGAAGTTTATGAAACATCACGCGTAGGCAAAGGAAAAGAAGTAGAATTGTAGAAACCATCGACCACATCATAATTGATTGATAACATAATTTCTTTCATTGCTTGAATTTTTAAAAGTGTATATTGATTGTACAAAAAAACTTAGAAAGAAAATCATCAGTTAAAATAAATATACCATCTTTATATTTTTTGTTGATTATATTTCAGAAAAATCATGATATTATCAGTTTTATTATTCGTGAAATCGCTTTGTTTTACAAGTATTGACTTATATGTTTGGTGGATGATTTTTTTCAACACATTATTAGGATTTTGTACACAGACGATTTATATTTATTAATTGTTGTCAATTTATATAGTTTTGGATGAATTTTATATATTTATTTTTTGCCAACAATTTTATATATTTTATTTATAGGGATGAGCTTTCAAGCTACAGATCCCTTAAAATCAACCAAAAAACGTCATAGTGTTGACGTTTACCAATTGCTTGTTTGAAATGCTCGTTTCTATTTTGAAAATTCTCAATGTATATTTGTTTATGTTGTCATGTTGAGAACTCTTATCTAGAAAGTTCTTGACATTATTTTTTATTCAAATAAATTAAAAGTTTAATGACAGTGACTGAAGTCTAAATTAATAACAACACTAGAAGTTTAAATTTGTAAGAGTACAATTTTCCATCTTAATGACAGTGACTGAAGTCACCGCAGCAGCTTCTGTTTCAGTGCCACGTTAGTTGTTCGTATGATCATTCACTTTATAACTACAATGAGACATATATGAATTACGCCGTGTATGATTTTCGTTTAAGTCAATGGATTGTAACGTACCCATATTTAGATCTACATCGTCATTTTAGACCAAAAACAAGATGATCTATATCGTCATTGAAATTCAAATTCCCATTTCTCTTCTGAACATAAACTTTTTTTTTTTCCTTCTGAATTTAAAAATTTCTTTAGTTATAAGAATAAATAAATTAAAAATTGAACAAGGTGAAAAAAATCGTGATTTTTTTACTCTTAAAAAATGCATTATTGAACTTTATCCCCTCTTACTGTGCACGGAAACTGAGCTAAAGCGGATCGGACATGTCTGCCATCTCTGAATTCTGAGTTGAGATGGTTTAGATCTACATTCTTTGTCTTCGTTTATGCAAACAAAAAATGTGTGTCACCTCTTCATGCCAAATTTAAAAAGTACCATGAAAACCGTCTTAACAACGTTGGGAGAGTTGTCAATCTCTTTCGAATTGGATTGCTTCCAGATGGTTAAGCTGATCGATGGAAAAGAAGAATGGCCGCTTTGAGTTTAGAAATTGATGAGCTATATTATTTTTGTTCTACGTACTTGTATTCATTTTAATCTCTTATATTCCTTGTGTGTTAAATGTTTATACTGATTTTCTTGCGGAAGAAGTCCAAGCACGAGATATTGTTTCTTCTATGCAGACTCTTTGGTTTTGATGGTCTCCGAAACCAACATATTTGAATCATCATAATAAGATATTAACATATGTAACATTTGACCTCAAATAAATTACTCAAAACAGTTTTTTTTCTTTTTCTTTTTCTTTTCCTGCTGGGTTGGCAATAGTTTAACGGTTACATTTATATGTTTTTAAAACTTATCTTTTTGCACAGCCATTCCCCCCAATTTTATACGCCTTAGGATTAAGAAGACATGAATTTTAGCTTCACTTAAACTCCTGTTTAAGGCATATCCTTTTTCATTTTATTCTATTCAACTTATCTTTCTTTTTTGTTTAATCCTTTTAAAATAACAAACATTCTCCGCGTTTCACCATAAATCTCCTCCTCTAAATACATAACCAACCACTCTTCGTTTTAAAAATCTTATTCCCAATTCCATTAAAACTAAACAAACAAAACAAACAAACAACAGCAAATAAACGCACAAACGAAGAAGAATTAGCTTACGTGTTCACATTTCTGAATTACGCGCAATCAAAAAGCAGATTCGAAAATTCTCCGGCCAAGTCGTCTTCCTCCTTCTATAGATCAATCATCATCTCTCAATCGGTCTCTGGCTTCCGAAATCATGCCAGAGATCGAGATTGTCGCCGACGCCGGCGATAACAACAACACCGAAAACGCCTTGTTCGGCAAATACGAGCTCGGGAAGCTTCTAGGATGCGGAGCTTTCGCCAAGGTCTTTCACGCTCGCGATCGCCGCTCCGGCCAGAGCGTCGCCGTCAAAATCATCAACAAGAAGAAACTCCTCGCGAACCCAGCTCTCGCCAACAACATCAAACGCGAGATCTCGATCATGCGCCGCTTGGCTCACCCAAACATCGTCAGGCTCCACGAGGTGATGGCGACGAAAGGGAAGATCTTCTTCGCGATGGAATTCGTTAAAGGAGGAGAGCTTTTCGTTAAAATCTCCAAACACGGACGTCTCAGCGAAGATCTCAGCCGCAGGTATTTCCAGCAATTGATCTCAGCCGTCGGTTACTGCCACGCACACGGCGTTTACCACCGAGATCTCAAGCCGGAGAATCTCTTGATCGACGAGAACGGGAACCTCAAGGTATCCGATTTCGGTCTCAGCGCCTTGACGGATCAGATCCGACCCGACGGTCTCCTCCACACTTTGTGCGGCACGCCTGCTTACGTGGCACCGGAGATTCTCTCCAAAAAGGGATACGAAGGCGCGAAAGTCGATGTCTGGTCCTGTGGGATCATCTTGTTCGTCCTCACCGCCGGTTATTTGCCGTTCAACGATCCGAATTTGATGAATATGTACAGGAAGATTTACAAAGGGGAGTATCGGTGTCCTCGATGGATGTCTCCAGATCTGAAACGATTAGTTTCTCGTCTCCTCGACATCAATCCAGAGACCAGGATCACCATTGATGAGATCCTTAAGGATCCTTGGTTTGTGAAAGGAGGTGTTAAACAGATCAAATTCCACGACGAGATCGATCTCGCCAAGGGAGATGATATCAATTCCGATAAGAGAGAAGGAGGAGAATCATCGGAAGCGGTGAAGAGTCTAAACGCGTTTGATCTGATATCTTTCTCATCGGGATTAGATCTCGCCGGATTGTTTGCGAGCAATTCGGTCGGGGAATCGGAGAGGTTTCTCTCGGAGAAATCGCCGGAAACGCTTTGGGAGGAAGTCGAGAGATTCGCGAAGGCAGAGAAACTGAGTGCGAAGAAGAAGAAGAAGGAAGAATACGGGTTCGAGATTGAAGGGCAAAACGGGAAATTCGTGATTGGGGTTTATCTCTCGAGGCTTAACGATATGCTCGTGGTGGTGGAGGCGAGGCGGAGAGGTGGCGACGCCGATTGCTACAAGGAAATGTGGAATAACAAACTCAGGCTTATACTTACCCGCGTTTGCGATCAAACGCCAGTCGCTGCTATTTAATAAACGCTTCATGCTTTCAAATCAAACGCCAATTGCCGCGGTTGGATTGGCTGGATTGATTTGCGTTCTACTACATTTTCTTAGAATTATTATCACACAGAAAAAAAAAAACGAAAAAAAAAAATTATATTAAACATGTCTATTTAAATACTTTTCAGTATCTATATTATGCTTTTTGATAAAAATGTATTACTCAATATGTACAACAAGTCTAAATTGCAATTGTTGATACTTACTCTTTCCTATAAAATAGAAAATGTTCTTCTACTTATAGTAGTGATTTCCAATTTTACTCAGATATTTAACCATAGTTGGTTTATTCCATTGGGTTTCTGCAGTTGAATATAATTGCATTCCTATCATTGAACATATGAAATGATTGCATGGGAGTTCCACATCCAGCGATAAAAAAAGGTTTGTACAGTACTTTATTACAAAACTTAAAAGTTAAAACAATGCAGCTTTTTTTATGTTGAGAAAAAGCTATTATTGTCCGTTTGATTACAAAAGATTCACATCTCAAAAGGAGTGAGGGTTAAGGAATCATTATCATTATTAAAGCATCATCATAGGCACAAGCCTTTCTCATTCAGGCAGCTCATAGTTTTTGGCCCCGTTTTTTTTTTTAAATAACACTTATTATTTTATTTGATTTCATATAATCATTTGAAATTGAAACTCAAAGTAGAACTCCTGCCCACCTTTTGGTGTTAGACGCAAAAAAAAAAAAATTAGGTTGTTTGGTGTAAATTAGGAAAGTAGATAGAGGGGAAAATGTGTTTGTTGAAGTTAACCAAAAAAAAGAAATCTACGTATACATATATTGAAATCCAGATTAGTTTCCATGATTTACAAGTTTATGACCGATATTTGAATTCTGAGCGAAAAAAACAAAATCACACTTTTGTTTTCTTAACCTATTAAAATCACACTCTCCTTTTTTTTTGTTAAAGTCACACTCTCTGTAGTGGTGTTTCCTTGTCTATTTGGGTTGGTCCATCATGTAATTGCTGACGGTTCACCAATCACCATGAGGATTAGAGTATAACTTTTTGCTGACAACGATGCTTATGCTGACTTAATATTTACGAATATATCAGATTTTATTTTTTTACTTGGATAATTTTGCAGTTTTCTTTTTTACTTTTATGATTTTATGGAAGTAGATTCAAACCTTGAGGTCATTCATCATTTGCCAAGAAAGCAGGATAACGTAAATTAAAGGGAGGGATTTCTACTACTAGCAAGTTTTTTTTTTTCTTTTTATTGAAGAGAAAACTTAACGCAATAGTTGTGAATCTGTGATTTAATAATGTATCTTAACTAACGATGGAAGATTCGATTCTACTACGTATTTTTCAGACCACTAAATATATGCCTTCACCGAAAAGGCAAAAATGCAGCTAGTGGTGAAAATGGATTAATCCATGTGTTTGATGGTTTTTTGGTCCTTTGTGTTTTCAGTTAAAGTAGTTTCCATGATAGATTATGGTGATTGAAGTCATTGAACAACCCAAGCACTTTCTCTTTTTAATACGCAACAGAGATTCTAGTTAAAAAGGGCCAGTACTCTGTGTTAATATTGGGCCTTAATAAAAATGGCCAACTTATTGGCCCAAAACAGTCTTACTCCTTCGTTTGTCTTGTCTCGTCCAACGGTCGAATTGACGCAGAGAATCGAAGAGAGAGAGATGAGAGAGAAAAGGGGCAGAAGAGGAAATCCCAAAACCCTAGATTCCGTCGCTGAAGATGGAGTCACCGGTAAAGAAGGGAAAGGCTTCTTCGCCTGCTACATCTTAACCTCTCTTAGCCCTCGTCACAAGGGTCACACCTATATCGGGTATTCGATTTTCATCGTCAATATTTTCTTCCCCAGTTAGATTTGCATTTAATGATCCTTACCCTTGAAGTTATTTTCGATTATAAAGTCATCGATTCTAAATGATTGAGATTTAGTGATTTTGATGCTTCTTTGATCAAACTAGTTAAGCCCAGATTGATGAATCGGAAGTATATCCAATTTTTTTGGGTTTTTAACATTGAATTCATTGTTTTCTTTGTAGATACAATCTGTCCTTACTCTCTTTCCTGACTGATATCTGTTTAATTAGATCAAAACGGCGAATTCGAAGTTTTAAAAGACTTGTAGATGTTGGTTTAGTGCGTCAAAATCACTACTTTTATCATCGTTTTCGTGATCTTTAATAACGGATTACATAATCTGGTTTTTGAAGGTTCACGGTTAACCCAAGGCGCAGAATAAGGCAGCACAATGGAGAGATCACTAGTGGTGCATATAGAACAAAGAAAAAACGTCCATGGGAAATGGTCCTCTGTATCTATGGTTTCCCAACCAACGTCTCTGCCCTTCAGGTCCTTTTTTTCCCCTTTCCTATATTACCGACTTAAAGATCTTATCTTCGATACCCCCAAGCTTCATGCTTTAGATTATATTTTACCAATTTTGGCAAAAAGGATCTTGCTTTTACTTCCATCTGTACTCAAGTTGTTGTGGCCTCTCGTTCTGTTACTCACACTTTCAAATTGAAATGAGTGATAGCTTAAAATGCTTTATTTTTGCTTTCTCGTTGCAGTTTGAGTGGGCTTGGCAGCATCCGAGAGAATCGCTTGCAGTGAGAGAAGCTGCTGCTGCTTTCAAATCATTCTCTGGGCTTGGAAGCAAGATCAAACTTGCATACACTATGCTAACTCTTCCAGCTTGGAATAGGTAAGGAAGCTTATCCTTGTTGTTATACTTTGCTATGCAATAACCATTTTACTTATCGACATAGCTTATATATCTTTCTCTGTGTCTTCTTGGTGACCAGTTTAAACCTGACAGTCAATTATTTCTCAACAAAGTATGCACACCACGGTGGTCTTTCTCCGAGTTTGCCTCCACACATGAAAGTCCAAGTTTGTGCTATGGATGATCTTCCGTGTTTCACGAAGCTAGACAACAATTCTCAACCTGAAGATGAAGAGAGTCTTGACAGTCATGAGGAAGAGGAGGATGATAGGAGAAACGAAATCCAACCTGGGAATTTAACTACAAGCTCATCGAATGACTTGTATCTAGGTGAAAAAGAACTTCATGACCGAGATTTTGAGAAAGCAAAACAACCCGAAGCTGTTCTTGATGACAGATTAGCAAATTTCACTGGTTTTGGATCATTAGATGAGAGTGTTGAAGATGAAGTATCACATATCACTGTAGGATCCATTGAAGCTATGGAGAAAGAACCCGAGACTGTGTTCGATGACAGATTAGCAAATTTCACTGGTTTTGGCTTAGAAGATATTGTTGAAGATGTAATATCACATAGCACTATGGAGAAAGATTGTTGGAGAAGAAGCAACCTTATTACATCAACCACTGAAGTTGAAGTGATAGACCTGATGACTCCTTCACCGAGTTGCAGAGTTGGACCGTCTATGAAGAGACAAAGAGTTTCTGAGTTTATAGATTTGACAAGGTCTCCTAGTTTCATAGAGTTGTAAATTAAAGAGTTGTGTGCAAATCGAAATAAGCTTTGTTGTAATTTTTCATATAATAAAAGAAGTTAAAAAACTTTTTGTATTTGAATCACTCATCTTCTTCCTGGAAAGATATAAAAGCCAAACCAAATCTATATTTTGAATCACTATCTCGATTTGTGATTTGAAAATCCTGGAGTTGAATGATTCCACAATTTCTGCAAAACAAGGTTTGATTTTGCGATTGGGACACCAAATTTTGATTACGTGATCAAAACTGATTATGCAATTCATAGACAACACATGTAATATTATTTTATATAAATATAAATACGAGTAGAACTCATATTTTTGTATGTTAATTGAGTTCTCATCTACATTTAGCACCCAAATGCATGTATTATTTTTCATTCTTCCGGGAGTAAATTGTTCATATCAAACAACATTTAGATGTAGAGTTTTTAGATACTTCATCTGGATTTTGGATTTACAAACAAACAGTGTTTTTAGTTTCCATAATTTTGTGGAGCTTTCAAATATATTTACATTTCAGAAAGGAAAAATTTTTGTTCCGATTTCCGAAGAGTGTGAATTGATGAGATCTAGTGTGCTCACATGTTCTCGATATTGACTTGTGGTATTTGTGTGCAGTCATGCATGTTAAGACGTGAGACTAGAGAAAAAGAAAAGAAAGCAAAACAGGAACAATAATTTTGTAATTACGGTCAATGATTTAAACTGGTTAAGCATTTAATTTGGGTTCGTAGACGGAAACATCCTTCACGTGCAACCACATGCCCAATATATTCTGCAATTCTTTCTTCTTCTGAAACTATTTTCTGATGTAAGATATACTAGATTTTCTTTTTACAGTTTTGACATATTTTCACATAAACTAGCAACGTAACTAACACGTGAAGAGGTTGACTATAAGAAAAAACAACGAGAAGGTTAGGTTTCTCCCAGTCCCAACGTAATTCTTGAACATACAATATTAGTTTAATCATTACAGTATTATCACCAAGTTCCTTTTTTTTAAGATTAATCCTTTTTTTTCAGGGGTTACTAAAATTTACCATTGGCCTAAATGGTTTTAGTCCATTTATTCTTCAACCAACTTTCTTTAAGTTTGTTAACAAACCACAAATCTTAAAGTTTATATATTTTATGTGTTGTTTTAAATCTTGATCGTTGGGTCTCGATATTACTGAAACTGAAATGGATTAAAAAAATTTACGGCCAGAATAGAAAATTTTCTTTTACTGAACATAGTAAAATTTCAGTCATTCAAAAATCAAGTTATGTACTTTCCGTATATACAGTATCTTTCACTATTTGATCATATACATAAATAATTTCTTGCAAGTCTCGAGCATACCCAAAATCTTATAATTAATTTCTTAACGTACAAGCGTATATAATTATACAGGTTTTTTATATAATTATATAATTATAATCTATTGTACGTCGAGATAATGGAAGCATATATATAATTCTATATGTATTTTTTTCAATTTAAAAAGATCATTTAATTCACCCTAATGACTCTCCTTTTGTTAAGTAACTCTTATTCCTCCATTTCTCCTCTTTTTCTTCTTCTTCTTCTTCTTCTTCCTCATTTCTCCTCCTCCATTAAAATTATCAAAAGCAAGCTTATAATTAGCATGCTTGAATGTCCAGAGGCAGGTAATTTAATCAAGATACTTTTTTTTTACTCTTTGGTGATGTTTCGAAGATAATCGATTGATCAGATCAATCTATCGGTCTTGAACTGACTGGAAACAACAGGGAAGGATTTGGCGAGTACTACGAGGTCGTGAAGAAGATCAAGAAAGATCCAACCTTCGAAACGACGACGGATCATGCCGTGATGGGGATCAGGAGACACGTGGCGGTGCCTCCGGGGACAACGTTGAACACCGTGACTCCATGCGCCGCTTGTAAGCTCCTCCGCCGTCGTTGCGCGGAGGAGTGTCCTTTCTCTCCTTACTTCTCGCCACACGAACCTCACAAGTTCGCCGCCGTTCATAAAGTCTTCGGCGCCAGTAACGTCTCCAAGATGCTTCTGGTACTTAATTACATATACACATATTTCTACACTAATGATTTAATATCTCTTCTTAATGTTTTCTTATTACTTACTCTTTGGATCCATATCATATTTCTTCTATTTATTTTTCTTTTTGGTTGAATCCATATCTATCACTTTTGATTATGGCGACATAGTTCAACGGATCTACCACCTTTTTTTTGTTTGACTCTTTCCAAAACTATTGATCAAAACAATATTTTTTCCATTGTGATATAGTTTCTTATAGTTCATGTGGTTTCATTAACACTATCAACTTGCTATTTTGCATAATCATACCAAATCTAATATTCGTCAGATTCCTCTCTACCGGATCTAGTGCACATTTGGTTTTCTATTGGTGGTTGCAACCGTTGCAATTTGTAAATAAGAGCAAATCAAAACATTTATTTTGTTGTAGTATAATAATTATAGTAAGAAGCTAACTATTGTCTTTTTTTTTTACATAAAATTTTGAAAAATACCCTTACTAATGAAATAAACATCATTTTGCATACAAATAAAATTCACTGTTTTTAACAAAAAAAATCTCTTGTTCAAGACTTTCCATAATAGTTTCTATATATAATCAAATAGTGAATGTGGAGTAGATATGATTAGTAAATTTGATGCAGGAAGTGGGTGAGAGCCAAAGAGGAGACGCAGCAAACAGTTTAGTCTACGAAGCAAACTTAAGACTCAGAGATCCAATCTATGGTTGCATGGGTGCAATCTCCGCTCTTCAACACCACATTCAGTCTCTCCAATCCGAACTCACTACCGTCCGTACTGACATCCTCCGCCACAAGTACCGAGAAGCCGCCACAATCACTTCCCTTCAAAACAACAACAACAACAACAACTTCAACAACACTACAACATCATCAGTGTCCGATCATGCTCTCGCGGCGGCGATTCTTCTCCCACCACCACCTCCACCGCTGCCACCACCGCGACCACCTAGGTTGTTGTCGTCTCAGCCGGCTCCACCGCCTACACCACCGGCTTCGTTGCCGTCTCCGTCGATGGTTGTGTCATCTTCTTCGTCTTCTAATTCATCTGCTACCAATTCTATGTATAATCCTCCTCCGTCTTCGGCGGCGGCTGGATACAGTAATTCTCTGTCCAGTGATAACAATGTTCATTTCTTCGATTAAATCAGAATTATGTTATTAATTCTGCTTTCTTTAATACTATTGTTATTACGTACCCCTTATAATTAAGCTTAAGATGTTTGAATGTTGATGCATGTTGAGGAATGAGGATAGGGCGTGAATGTTTTTGTCTTATTTGTTGTTCATTTAGATTAACAATTCCATTACTAGCTTTAACATTCAGTTTTGCTTTCTTTAAATTGATATATCACGTGCAAGTTCTTTGAAAGTTACGAGAAATGAGTTGGTAAAAAAAAATGATACGAGAAATGAGTGTGATGCAAGACACGTACAAGACTTTGCCCTGAAAGTTCATCTGGAAAAGCGTTATAGCTCGATATGCATTTTGATGTAACTTCACATTTCTTACTGTTAGATTCTATGTAAACCAAGGGTAACGTGTAGAGCTCAACTAATTGATGTTATTAATTCATTATAATATTGCTTTTGTAAACAGTATTCATACATTAGAACAATTCAATCCTCACACGCGAAACATACATTACATATGATTTTTTTTTTTTTTGTATTTTAAACCTACGTTTAATATCTGACTTTTCAAAACAAAAAAAGGCCTCAACCGAAGAAAATTCCTTCGATTTGTTCTTTTTTTTTATGTTATTGTCATGTATATCATATATATATATATAGCTAATCAGAATTAAAATCACAATTAAAAGCAACACAAATATAATTGTATCTAATATCTAGTACCCTAGTGATTTGTATTCATAATGTCAATATAACATCATTCGGATTCAAACCCATTGCAATGCATGTTATTGAAATTTATCTGTTTTAGTTTGATGATAGATAGTTTTAGTTTTGAATTTAGTTTTTTTTTTTTTTTTTTAACTGGTTCCGGTTTAAAAATTATGATCAGAACTTTTGAATTGGTGAAATTCGTGACAACTATTTTAGATTCAAGATTTTTGTAATATTTTTTTTTTTACACAAGAAAATAGAAAATATTACCACCCACCATTTTTAATATGAAGCATGGCATTTGATATGAGTAGGATACTTTTGGGGTAAAGTTTTTCCTTTTTGTTGCTAGAATTTGGTTTTGGGGGTATACTCGACATTTTATCTTATTAGTACAAAACATTGATTTAATAATGTTCTAGCTTACCATTTTGACAGGGGATGGGTTTTGCTTTCACGCTATATCTAAGGTTGCTTCGTGGATTCATTTTCTTTTCATATCCTAACCGTGTATTGAATCATTATAATATATATTATACTAAGTAGCTTAAACACACTAGAGAACAAATAGCAAATATATAGAAAAAGATCCACATCAAACCAGAAAATTTATCAAACGGAAAAGGAGTCAGAAATACAGTCGTGGTAAATCGAAGAATTTTTATTAATGTATATATATATATATATATATATATATATATATATATGAGATTCGACTAATTAAGTTACGAGCATATTAAACTAGCTACTAACATACAGGTCAGATTTAACATTAAATGAAGGCGTTGACTAACATATATATTTGGCAATGAGCATCCCCATGTATAAATTTTAAACTAATTTTTATGTGATTTAGTTAAGGGGATTAATTGATCAATTAATTAATTATAACCGTAGCAGAATCTATTTATATCCCTAACAGAGTTCCAGTGTCATCACATGACGCAATTACATAAACTAGTACAATAAACTAGTACTACTACTATTTGATGTCTTGATTACAGAGTCCCACAAGCTTTTAAATAATTACACCAATGTTTTCTTAATTCCAGGCATTACCCAAAGGCTTACAGCTCATGTTTTGCCTGTTAACATACACATTATGGCCTTGAATAGTTCTCTCCCCGTTTCAATTTGTTAAAAATTAGTCTACTATATATCAAATATGTGTTCAATCTCTTGTAACAGCAAAAAAAATAAAAAAAATACAATTCTATAGTTCTTCCGTCAAAATTATACAATTTGGGTAAAACCTTGGTCGAGTAACTAGTCAAGAGTTTAATAGTTTTTTTCCTAATGTATGGGAGTTTAACAGTTTTACACCATGTATGAGATTCAATTTTCAGAAAGTTCAATTGTTTGCAGATAATAGATGTAAACTTTATTGAAAGTTCAAGCACATAACCACAATTGTTTGTCGTGATTCCATATATATGCCGATAGAATTAAGCATAATGAATTAGTGTGTTGAAGGATAAATGGTCTATCATGAAATCGTTCATAAAACTACTCATCACAGTCACATACAATTATAGTTAGGAGAAAGCTCTACAACTTCATTTTCTGTTAACAGAATTCATAGTCAAATTGTAATAATTCAAACAAATTCTTTTCTATTTGAGTGCTGTCTATTTTATAATATAAAACTCACGATACATTATTGTATCGTATTCGAAAATAGAATGGGCAAATAAAACTAATTACATAATTAATAATTATTCATGGCCATACACGAGTACATACTCGTGCGAAGAAATGCATATTAATAAGAATTTTGTTGAGTCTAGCTCATTTTCTGAGTTTATAGGGTATTGTCGTACAAAAGTCTTCTTCTGGGCGACCTAAGTCATTTAATCATGCATGCAGCCTCACACACACCAATGTCTTCTTCATTACCGATTTAAATTTGTTTAAAGTGTCATTCAATTTAATCAAGTACAAGGAAACCATGTTTTAGAATTCTTCACCTTAAGAGTATGTTCAATAGATATCTAAATGGAGTCTTAAAAAATATTTAATAATAAATTTAAAGTTATGAGAGAGAAAAATAATTTGGTTCAGGAGAGTGAAAATGTTTTGGTCGTATGAGAGAAAATATTTTGGTTTCACACTTATAGTTTTCTAATTTTTTTGACACTTGTCCGCTTAACACTGCATCTTAAAACGCTTGTTCAAGCTTCGATGGTTATTTTAACTAACTATTTACATAAAAAAAAAATATCTAAGAATCCATCTTAAACATCTGCGTTGAACATGTTCTAAAGACCTAAGGCGGTAATCAGATTCCTAAAAAAAATAACAATAGAAGAAGTTTTGGAAAAAGAAATACGAGACAAAACATGTACCCAAAAGTACATGCCATCATCGTGCCAATATCTCACATAAAAAATCTGCAGTAGTTTTTAGTAATGCTCTATTATTTGGTAAAGTTTTTCACCTATGAATAGCTTGTGTTTAAATTTAACACTTTAACAATGCTAAGTAACAAAGAGGCATTTCTTCTGTTTCTATGGTAAAAATTGAGAGGCAACACATTATTATTTTTGTTTATCTAATTAAGAAAGAATTTACTACTCCCTCCGTTTTACAAAGAGTGTCGTTCTGACATTCTTCACACAAATTAAGAAATGAAATAAAAAGTTTCTGATACCCTTATTTTATCTATGTAATTACATTACTATTTATTTTGTTTATTTTTTATAAGTATAGAGCATTCAATTATTTCTATTGTTCACCTTTTAGTATTCTACACATATTAATTTAGTCACTTTGAATCATTTATTCCATCCATTCCTACGATCAATAGATTTTTGTGACAAAAAATTGAAGGCAAACTTTTTTGTGTGTTTTACGTTTTTTTTTTAAGGTTTAAAAAACTAATGGAGCCAAATATTGAAAGTGGAGGCAAACAAACAATGCTTAAAAATTTAGGAAGTGTTTATATTAGTTCATCGTGATTTTCCCAACAGTCACATATGGCTTCTGAAGATGCAAACAAGGCTGGAGTAGCGCGTGTAGCAGTCCGACTAGCTCTGGAACTGACACGGGAAGACTTGCGTAGCAATCTACACACGTGGAGGTGAGCTGGAAGCTGAGCTGGAGCTGCAGGACGTGCTGGACACTTCAAGAGACGAGAAGCTGACGTGGATAGGAAGCTTGGAGTATCTTGGAGGATCTATGAAGACAATATCGAGTTTCCTCTATCTTAGGAGAAGATAAGGAAGGTGAAGATTCTCATGAAGATTTGGTGTAATCCGAAGGAGAATCTAGGCGAGGATCAGCCGCAAGTCCTATTGAGTATAAATAGGCGTGTTAGAGCTAGGTAGGGTTTTAACACAACTGAGAGAATACTTAGCAAAGGGTGAGCGAAAATCTGTGAGAGTTTTTGTGAGCTAGTGTGCTAAGGGATTTGGGTGAGAGGTTCTTGAATCACGTATCGATTCAAGAACAAGTGAGACTAGTGTAGCAAATCAAGGCGTGTCTTGAGGTTGCTCTAAATCGGGTTCTGTATACTTGTAAGTTACAAACAGATTTACTAGTGAAGTATCTTTGAAGAGAAAAATCTCTGTGTTGTGTTCTGTGTTAGTTCCCGTATTACTACTCTTACATTTTCATTTGGTATCAGAGCGGTCATCTGTGTGTATTACAAACAGGTGAGATCCTGCGGAGAAAATGGAGAGCTATAAAGAAATGGTGAACAACTCCAGGATCATCCTGGATGATGGGAACTACGGGTTTTGGAAAGCTAGGATCAGATCCATGATCAAAGGGATCGATCCATTGGCATGGGAGGCAGTAACTGATAAATGGGAAGAACCACTGGTAGCTGATGCCAACAGAGTCTTTCATCCAAAACCAGAAGAAAGTTGGACTGAAGAAGAGTCAAAAAGAGCAAAGTACAATTCAAGGGCGTTGACTACCATTCACACCAACATTTCAAGGAAGACTTTTGAGCTGATTTAAGGTGTTGAGACTGCCAAAGAAGCATGGGACATACTTCAGATGCAGTACGAAGGAACAACAAAGGTTCAAAACTCCAGAAAGGACATGCTTGCTTCTCGCTTTGAGAATCTAAAGATGGAGGAGGATGAAACCATCTCTGAATTCAGTTCGAAACTGAGTGCTCTGGCACAAGAAGCTGCGGTGTTAGGCAAGAAATACAAGGACAAGAAGCTGGTGAAGAAATTCTTGAGGTGTCTGCCATCGAGGTTTATGGGGTACAAATCAGCACTCAGTGTGTCCAGTAACACGGAGAATATGCCATTCAGTGAACTCGTGGGCATGCTGAAAGCTCATGAGATGGAGCTAGAAAGTCTGAAGAAGCCTAAAAGTTTGGCTCTAAAGTGTGAAAACCGTAGCACTGAAGATGAG